TAGGAAAGATCTACAACTAGCCTTCTTGGACAAGGGCGAAAAATTTCGGAGGGCCCGTGTGCAAGTTACGCATGTTAAAGATCCCTTTGTGGTCTAAAATCGATAACAGTAGGCTTCGGCCACCACCCGGGCAAAATTCAAAATTTCCTACCAACTGAAAGTATTAGGTGTGTCCCGCGCGCTCATATGACACCGTAAAACACTTACCAAAAAAAAAATCTTCAGAGCAAAATATTGTGCGTTGAATGCGTTGGTATCAATGTACATCGTGAGAAAACAATACCAACACTTTGCGCCCATGTTCCTTCCAGTTTATATTATTTCCCTAAATGCATGACGAGTTTCAAAAGTCACACAAATCACAGTAGCTAGTTTTTTTTGTGTGCTGCAATTTTTAGACTTCAGGGAAAAATATTGTTGTATAATGGTGAGACAGAATTTAGGCAAGTCAATGTATAGCGACCATCAATCGTGATCCATGTGGCATCATACCATAAAGTCTAACATACGATCATGTGTATACTGGTGTTTGTGGTGCAGTAGTCAGGCGCTTCGAGGTCAGAAGACTCGAGTGCGATTCACGAGTGGAGAGGATTTTCGTCGAATGTCTCGGTCTTTTTAAATAAGACGTTGTATCCTTCAGCTTGGGTTGGTCATTGTTATGCTCCTAAATGAATTAAATTGTGTATCTAAGAGGGCGTGATATTCTTACCCCCCCCAAAAAAAAAAACGAACATAAAAAAGATAAACGAAACCAAACAAAAGTACGATTATGTACTTTTCCAGGTTAATGTTTAAGAAATGGACTGGTGTAAAATTGTATGGGTCACCCTACCCCCCCAAAAAAACAACAACAACAACAACACAACAACAACAAAAAAACAAAAAAAACCCAAAAACACAAACAAAACAAAAACAAAACAAACAAAACAAACCAGCAACTCCCAAAAAAGCAAAACCAAACCATAAGCTAATTTATTAGACAAGACTTTCGAATTACACGTCGGTCTAGAAAAAGGACCATGCCAAGGAAATAGAGAGCCCTGGAACGATTTGTTCAAACAATCCCAAAAATCCAGAACGCAGAGTTAGGGATCCGAACCGGGATCATCCACGTCGTACTCCAGCAGAATGTAAATAGAGCTATCGCACCGCTTGCCCGATCGTCATTGTTTTTGAAACCCGTTGTTTTCGTATCATTAATTATCTAAATAAACACAATGTGACGAACAACACCAACACAAGTTATATCCCCTGGTGCTTCAAGGCTTGACTGACGTGTATTGTCAGCGGCAGATCAGCCACTTCTGTGTTTTTCAGATATGGGAAAATGGAACGTTGCTTTTAAAACATTTTTATTGATATTGTCACGGTTTGGTACGGGTCTTTCTATTTTTTCTTTGGGGAAGGGGGGGGGGGGGGGTTTGGTTTGGGGGTTAAGGTAGGAAAGGGGTAAAAGGTAACTCTATGCAATGACGTAGGCACTGGAAATTACATGGTACGCTCACAAAGAAGTAGGCTCCTTTGGGATGTTTGGGGGTGTAAGGGTATGTGAATCGGAATGGTGCAAGTCATATAAAACTCAGATGTAGCTCGACAGATTTTGCACAGAAGCAAGTTAGCGTTGCTGCAGACTTCGCTACGCGTCCACTTCAGTTGGAGGTGTCCCAGTTCGAAACTTTATTTGTCCAGAGATTTTTGTTTCCACATTTATGACCTTTCGGGCGGAATTTTAACGTTTTGTGCAACGTTTCTCAGAGGTCAGCAAAGGTACGTGGGTCTGACTATCCTTTCATGTTGTTGTTGTTTAGCTTTTTTAAAGAATTAATTCTATTTAGAATTGAGATTATTTTGAGATCGATCGAAAAATTGCTTATACCCTTCGCCTTGATCTTACGGATCAATAAACTAGTATGCCCTTGAGCTTGCTCCTGAAAGGCGCGAGTTCTGTTCACACCTGAAGATGACATTTCGCCAACATTCCACCAAGTATCTTAGTCTTAATGTGGCCTCTTGTTTCAGTGTACTCTTTTCAGGGTTGCTCAGTGGTATTGGTTATTGGAGATGGCGCTAATAGACTCAATACCGACACTTCTAAGGGTCCTTATGTCCTGAAGAATATCAATAGATTTCTCCGTTAACCTCTTTTAATTCAATCGTTTTCTTTCGTGAGATAGTCGTTACGCTGTTCTGAGCACCCCCCCCCCTACCCCTACAAAGTTTGCGTGAAAGAAATGGCACGGAATATTAATTGTTCCTTTCGCATTGTGGTATTTTACATAAAAATAAATGGACAAACAAACAAGTTAAGTCTCATATATAAACACATTAAAACACAAGCACATGTATTGTTCGATATGAAAATATAATCCTATTTGTAAAAAGTTGCCAAAAAGGTGTGGTGTCACTTGACGAATGATGCAAAACCTAGCCACTGTTAACGTTACTGAGCTCAGTGTGTCAGTGTGTGACCATAGCATTGGTGCCCAAAGTCAGTATGCTGTATGGTTGTAACGGGTTGAAGTTACTGCTGCACATGTGCATTACATTGGATTTATCATGGAGAGAATTTCCCTGCTCTGAATTTGTCCCCACAAATGGGTAATGGCTGATGGCTATGTTCATCTTTCCTGCTGTTTGTGACCTTTGGTGGTTACAGCTGAGTCGTTTCTGTAAGGTGTTCGTTGGTTCGAGTAAAGAGAAGCACTTCGACACAAAAATGGACATTTAGTGCTGGGGAAAAGTAAGACAGACAGACAGGCAGAAACAGCAGAGGGAAAGTAAAGAAGTAGGACCTACCAGCAGCTAGCACCCTCAACCACCCACTCTGTAAGGTGTTCCAAAGGTGCTCAATGGGGTTCAAGTCATATGAGAAAGCTGGATAGGGTAGCAAGTTAATGTTCTTCTGCCTCAGAAAGTCTTGTGTTGCACAAGCAGTATAGTATCTTATGTTATCCAGCGGGAAGAAGAAGTTATGATGGTTGTGGAAAAATGTCACTACTTGAGACATCAAGACTCGCGGGATGTACCGTTGAGCAGTGATACCATTCCCCCGGCCTAAGACCGACGTTCTGAAAGATGGCAGGCCCGACAAACTGATTAAGGGAAATAATGTGAGGCATTGTAGTGAAATCAACCGCTCGTCAAAATAATGAAACCGAAGAAACTGGCATTTTCCTGCCGTTTTGAAACTTTTAAATCCGATTTTAGTTTTTTGGCTCAACACATTTATTGTCCAGTTAGAAACACATTCCTGCTCACCTCTAGCCTAAACAGTAGAACGTCTGCTTCGATTATCAAGGTACCGTGGAAAAAAGCAGTTCACAAGAGAGTGACAAACATACACAAAAAGCGGCAGTTCCCACTATGTTGTTCCAGCACAGTATGAGTATGACATTTATAAATCAGCCCATTTACAATTCTAGTGCGCATAACGACATGTTAATATCCCCCCTTTGGGAATGGTCTGAAGACAACAAACCATAAGCTAATTTATTAGACAAGACTTTCGAATTACACGTCGGTCTAGAAAAAGGACCATGCCAAGGAAATAGAGAGCCCTGGAACGATTTGTTCAAACAATCCCAAAAATCCAGAACGCAGAGTTAGGGATCCGAACCGGGATCATTCACGTCGTACTCCAGCAGAATGTAAATAGAGCTATCGCACCGCTTGCCCGATCGTCATTGTTTTTGAAACCCGTTGTTTTCGTATCATTAATTATCTAAATAAACACAATGTGACGAACAACACCAACACAAGTTATATCCCCTGGTGCTTCAAGGCTTGACTGACGTGTATTGTCAGCGGCAGATCAGCCACTTCTCTGTTTTTCAGATATGGGAAAATGGAACGTTGCTTTTAAAACATTTTTATTGATATTGTCAC